AAGGTCTGCTTGGTCGCTTCCTGTAATTTTAGGCCTGTCCTTTGCCAAATGATCTAAGGCACGTTCTATCAACTGGGTTGGATTTGCTATTTTCCGTTTCTCAGGGCCACCAATTTGATCCTTCTCTTTGTCAATTGGGAACGTTTTGTAAGTACGGTAATTCCTTGAAAAATAATCATTCCAAAGGTCCTTGGCAAAATCCTCTTCCAACTCGCTGACGTAGTTGTCAACATATTTGGGTTGAAAAACTTTCAAACTTGCAAAGGCTTCATTATACTCTAGTTTTCCAAGATGCCTCTTGATGTCGGAGCTATGAGAAGAAATCAGGTTTTCTGTACTCCTTGTTAATGTCTCAGATTGAAATCTTCCATCTCTGGGGATAGTAGCAAATTTAGCTTCAAGAGATTGTATCAGTCTGTTTTGGAAAGCGTCAGGCAGCTTATCCAGTTCATTCAATTTAGTTGAAAAATCTTGAATCAATTGAAGTGGCGGTAAGCCCTTAGGCGCATCAAGAGGGTACAAGTAATTGTGTTCTTCTGTTGTGAGTAGCCCTTTGGTTGTCAATTTATCCAAGTAATTAGTGATTGAGGTTGTGACTGGAGAGAGGTCTGCTTGTGGGACCAAGCCAGCCTCTAGTTTATCAAATAACCCAATTTCCATCATTTGTGTTAGCCTGGAGCGCACAAGATCAGGGCGGGCTATTCCAAATAATAGCTGGTCAGAAAATTCATCTGAGATTATCCCCCTGGCACGTAGTTTCACTACAAAGGCATGTACCGCGTCTTGATTAGTTGCATGATGTTCTAACTCGAATGTCTCGTACTCAGTATGCTGAAATTTATCAATTTGCCGGCTTTCCTTGATAGACTCGAGTACTTCTTCGTAAAACACCCTCGAACGGGTTGCAGCTTTGAACAGCTCTTTGTATTCTTCAGGTGGTAGTTGGCTCTTGAAGGTTCTTTCAAAAGCGCGAAGATCTACATTCCACATGTTGCTCAAACGTTTCATTTCGTAATAAATGCCGTGAGAGGATGATTGGATGCCGAAATTTTGCTGGAAGAACTCCCTTTCAACTTTTGAAGATGTGTGGTAAATTATTTCTTTCAACTTTTCCGAGTAGGCCTTACGCATCAATGCATTGTTACTAGTGATACGCCCAAATTCACTGTTTAGCTTGACTTTTGCGCTTTGTGTTGCAGTTTCTTCAAGCGGCCTCGTCATCGCAAATTGGAATTTGAGATGCATAATGTCCTCAGGTGTAACTTGAATACTTGTAGCAATTGTCTCAGGAGTCAAATCCATCAACTCTCGGTCAGGTTTTCGATCCAACACGGCGAAATTGCGACTTGAAATCCTTTCAAAAATAAATCGAAATTCCTCATCTGAGAATTGTGGGGCTTCACAGAATTTTGTCACTAGGTATTTTCTGTAGTCTTTTGTTTGAGGATCCAATGTTTTCAAGCCAATAGAAACTTTGGCACGTGCTGGAAAGGCCACTTGATATAGTTGTTGTAGTTCCTTGTAATTGATATTCTTCATTAAATTGTCTGCCACGGATTTAGCCACCGGTTCGACCGTTGTTGGATTCCAGGCATTGAACCTATCAACAAGCCGTGACATTACAACCTTATCTGTCTCTTCCTTCATGAATACTCGCATGGAATCGTGCAAAGCTACACCTAGCTCCCTTTCAAAAGTCTTCCATGGACTCAGGATTTCTTTGATCTCTTGTTCAGCTTTCACTTGTTTTTTAGAGACTATGAGAATCTGTTTCAATTTTTTGCCAACTCGATCGATTTGTTGTAATGCTTCTTCATTGTGCCGAGCCTCGGGGTGGAGTTTTTTGATCCATTTGTTTCGAAATTCTCGAACCACAAAGTCTATATCAACAGTTTGTCTTAATCTCTCTTCTCCTGATAGGTTTGCCAAGATATCTCCAGCACTCTGAATCTGCTCGGCTTAATATCCCAAAATCACAAAAAAATGCAAAGAATGCGTAATGGGTGCTTATCTTTGAATTAGTGTGAAGTTTTCAGATATTTAGGATGATGAGAGTAGTGACCATGTCATTACAGAACTGACTTGATTTGGCTAGGTCTGCGGGGTTGATTGGAGTCGGTACCTTTTGGTGTGTGACATCCAGGTAAAAGCGTTCGTATTTAGCTGGCTCTGGCTCGAATGAGAACCTATCGGAGAATGACTGTTGCCGACAATTGAAAAAAATTCAAATCAAACACTGGTCAAAGCACATGACAGGAAAATGCCTGATCAGCTTACCTCCCACATCTGCACCCCATCCTCCTTTTTATAGGCAGCTCTGTAAAACAAAGAATAAACTTTCAATTTCAAACTTGGGTTCAGAATCTTTAAAAGATTTAGGACTCACAGGCTCTGTGGCATAGGGTGGCTTGCGGCATTCTTTGAGCTTTCGGCTTGATGGCTTAGGACATTGCTTGAGCTTTCAGCTTGATTGACTGAGGTTTGGCGACTTAGGGATTCCTTTGGAATCAGATTTCTATTGGCAATGTCTTGATGGAGTGTGGGATTCTGACCTGAAGGCTTATTGGTGAAGTCTTGATGGATTGGGAGATTCTGACCTGAAGGCTTATTGGTGAAGTCTTGATGGATTGGGGGATTCTGACTTGAAAGTTGATTGGCCGGGGCTGGATGGCTTGGGGGACTTTTTGGACTTTCAGCTTGAGTGGCGGAGGGTGCAGGATTGCTTGGGGTTTCAGATTTTGTGCCCAGGCCTTTTTCACTTGCAAGGTTATCAAGTTCACCGGCTGAGATGGAAAAATCTGGTTTTTTAAACGCGAGACTACGTTGAGGTCTTTTATTGGGAAGTTGTTTACTAGGGCCACCCTCCGCCCCTTCATGATGAAGACCGATTCTGCTGGAGACTTCATCGAGGTTAAAGCGCTTTCCGTCAGTGCGTTGCAAATCAGATGGACCTTTACTCAAATCTGTAATTGTCGAAGGAGAAGAGTGAGTTAAATCAGACTGTCCCTGAAGGAAGCCAAGGGCATCTTCGCTAGGACTTGGGCGGGATTTGCTGGCTGCCTTCGTCGCCCCTCGCGCAGCAGCTTCAACAATCTCCATTCGCCTTTCGAGGAGTTTTGGGTTGGTATATGAAAAACATAAGGAGAATATTAGCGCCCAGCAGGAATTAGGAATGTACTTCATGAGCGAATGTTGGAAAGAATCGTTTCGAGAAGATTTGTAGGGGCAAATTGGATAACGGCTATCAAATGTGCACGGAATACATAGATTGCAAGATTCTCTTTCCCAGGAGCATATAATGAGAGGCCTCCTATTTTTGAGAGCCCGCAAGTGGGGGGAGTGTGGCTTGACTTGCGACTGTTCTCCAATGGAAATATTTACTTAAAGAGCTGCTGGCGCTCGATTCGCAGTAATAAAGTTTGTAAAATTCTCGCAAAATTTAGGTTGGTCAATTGGCTAAGAAAGAAGAAGTCTAGTGAGTGTATGTTTTAATAAATATCAGCCATCGAGTCGATCATCTCTGGGCAGCTTCACTTTACAGCAAGTAGTGTTAGGCAGTACACAGCTCTTGTCGCGACATCTCCAGTTTCTCGAGTCGACCTCCCATAAACAAGACCAGATGTAACCATGAGCACCCGAAGTTCTGTCGCAGCCAAGATTGTTCAGTTGGATCGGCGAGAACAAGCGACTCGGCCACACATGCTGATACTGAATGAAAGGACTAGGCTGGACTGGTATAGCCGATGCCACCTTTCTTCATCAAACGGTACCTCCCCCAGCCAACATGTAGATGGTCTTCCATGTACAACTTGAATTCACGATGTCACTGCTCCTAAAGTACATAGATAATTTTTCTTGACTAATTTCACCTGTGGGTCCTACTAACCAGCATGAGACCGCGCACCTTGGTACGCGCATATGTAGTACCCCTCTACGACCTGTGAACACTATAGACACCCAGTGTTAGACTGATGTGGCGTCACTACCAAAAGTACGCAGGCTCGATCTGACTCGATTGCGTCCAAAGATGAGGTGGTCATATTTACATAATCCCTCAAAGTTATCGAAGGAAAACTATATAATCTACCGATCTCGGCTTGCTTGGTGATCATAGACAATCCCCGCTGATCGTAGTGTGCCAGTGCAGCCAATGGGGATGACTGCCCGCGCCGTTAAAGAGAGATGCAGCGTGCCACTGAATCCTCTCCACACACGCAATACCCAAGCCATAAAATCGTGGGGTGATGTCCACACGAAGAGAGAACGCTTTGCAACGTCCCGCCGGAAGAGTGCTTCTGAGGACTCTGCTCCGGATATCCACCAGCGCCGTTTCGATTGAATATTTACATGAAGATTTGTTGGAGGAACTCTGCTTGTGGAAGTGGCAGAGAGGAATCGGGTCCGATCAGAGTCTCAGACTATATATACAAAATAAAGAATTCGAGCTGACTTCGGAGGCTGAGAAGGAAGCGTGTCGTCAGCACGTTCGAAACCATTGTTCATCCATCATCCTCCAGGGACCTGTACAAGCGAGATCCTCATGGTTTTTCTTTTTGTGAACCTACCAGGTGCGCGTGTTTGAATATCGGGGCGGTGGGTCGACCGACGGCCTCGATCTATCCTGTTGCACAAAAGGACATCCGATCTGTGTCTCTGATCATGTCGGCCTGTGAAGGGCGTCATTTAAGATTCTTGTTGTTGTTTGTTAACAAGAAGTGGGTGTCGAGGATGGATCGCACTTACAATACATAGCTCTTGATCTCTTTTACGATATATATCCGCCTCTTCGGTCTTGCCTCCAGGACTTTCGAAAACGATACGATGAATCTTGGGGACCTTCGGTTGTGATTGTTAAGGTATGTACCCGAGCTGATCAGCAGGCTCTAGCCAAAATAAGAAGAAAAAAAGCTGAATGTTGTTGTCAAGACGGACGGGCGACTAGAGCTGGATGATTGCACACCACAGTCGGGTTTCTTTGTAAAAAGAGTCGATGATCGGATATGCAAATTATACATGGTGTCCATAGTCTGTTCGGCTCGGCTCGGCTCTCGAGCGTCGTCAAGGATGTATGTGTGAGCCCCAACGAGTGAGTCCGGATAAAGAATATTGAACAATGAATAATGATGATGATGGGAAGAGATGAAAAAAGAGCGAACGACGAACGTTCGGTGTACACCGATAACGTGTCACCCAATCATTGTTCGACACGCGTTCCAAGTCTCCGGAATCCAGGGAGACCGGGGATTGTATGACGGTCGGCGTGGCGAAGAATGTGGGAAAGATGATGGGTGATGAAAGCTGAAAACTACTGGCGATCCAAGCTGGATCTTACGGGTTGTAGGGAAGAAGATGAGCCAAGTGGTGGAGCGGTTCCTCGGCTGGCACGTCGTGTCTGCGGCCGGGGCCGATCCGGGCTGTACATTTTGCTCGATGTCTCCAGCCAGCCGGCGACGACCCCCCGCGTTGGCTTTGAGAAAAAGATGATGATCAAAAAAACTGTATGGCGGGATGGGTATTCTGTACAGGGACCATGTTTGTATGTTCGCAGTTCAGTCTGAGTTTGGAATGTAGGCCGATCTGTTTCTTCTTGAGAAGAAGAATTGTGTCTTCTTCCTGAATCCAGCATACAACAATATAAACATTTCCTTCCTTCTGATTCGGATCGCCCTCTGCCATCTATAGGGTGATTTCTTAGGAAATAATCGATGGTAGTTAATTATTTATTTATTTATCAAGGCTCAACCGAAACAAGTATACAAATCCCAGCAGCTCCCATTTGATTTCAGTCTGTAGTTTTCCAAGGATCAAGGTCAGTCCTCATCGTCATTCCTTTTGAACTCTTTGGCATTGATCCCCCAGAGAAACCGACAAGCATATAAAATACATACTTGGAAAGCGTATGTGTTGTCATAGACTGTTGTACACGTAGATATTTCGATAGATGATGATAGACTTTTGAGTAGATGTAGAATGGATTGGTGATTTCTTTCCTCTGCATGTCACTCTGGAGAGGCTTCCTTCCTTCCCCCCCCCGCCCCTAGCCAGCCTTGCGATGTTTTGACTGTTTTTTAAGCATCATCATCTGAAGATTAACCAGTCCAGCCAGGCCTATCCTCTCGAATCCTTCAGGCCCATGACCCTTGGGATAGTTCTCGTGCTGATCATCTTCATCTCCAGCCACGGGTCAGCTTATATCCATCTGCGTGTTGATACCCCAGCCAGCCAGCTCTCTTCAAACTTGCTAAAACACCCTCTAGTTCACCTCGCCAGCCAACCAGACCTTCCTCATCCTCCATCAAACAATCCTATAGGATAAAACATCCACTAACATCATTTGGTTTGCCTCCTCTACTCTTTTCCCGCTCCCCCAAAAGCCTCGCTCCACCCTGAAAGCCAACCTAACCAACCAAGCAACCGTCCGAACCGTCTCGACCCGCGCTGTATTTCAAGGTTCGTCTCTCCTGACTTGATTTCCGAACACTTTATATGTATCAATAGCTCGTTATTCAACTGAAAAAAACCTGTTGATTTTTGATTTGATTGATAATAATAATAAATCTTTATTAGCGAAGGACTTCATCGTTTTCTCCCGCAACCGACAAAGTCAAATAATTTATAGAACAAAAACCTTGCAACTCGCCCCAAGAGCTGACTCTTGCACTCCATCCGACCACTCCAATCGGCTTGTCTCGACTTTGGGCCCTTGGATCACTTCGCAAACCACTTCATCAATCGAATCTTCGATCCATCATCATCCATCCACTGACTCTCCGAGTGAGACAAGTCAAGAGAGTCAGAAAGAGAGACAGAGGCTGAGGCTAAGCAGGACCATCCCTGCGTGCTGCTTTTTTTTTCTTGCTGGAACTTATTATAAGTGCATAGGCCTCTTCTGCGGCTATCCATATCCATACCCGCTGAACTGTAAACCGCCCCTCAGAAAAAAAAAACCACTCTGAAGTGAGTCCTTTGAGTTTTCTCTCTTCTTCTTCCCTCCACCTTCTACCACTATCCACGGTCGTGCTCTTCTCCAAGAAAGACTTCCTTTACATATTAACAACCCAAGCACTCGACTAATCACCATCCACTCCGACGCCCTTCAAGCCTATTCATTCGTTTTTCTTCTTCTCCTCGTCGCTTCTGCCACTCGTAATCTTGAAACTGATTGACTGATTTTCTTTTTGATATATCTTTATATTGTTGCATCGTTTTTTCAACCTTTCGACCATTTCTCCTCCAGTCATCGGCTCTAGCTCGTGTTGATTGTTATTATTCTCTTGTAGATCCGACACTCTCAACTCACAGGTTGTTAGACTTAAACTCTTCTTATATTATTGGCAATCCTCATTCCGAATCCCAGCTCATGCCCAACTGATAAACCAACTTCCTCCTCTCCTCGTCTCTCTCCCTTCTCTCCCTCTCCCTCTCACACACACTCACCACCATCACCATTCACTCTCACCATCGACCTATCGATCAACACCAACAATATCACATTTCCTCCTCGATCTCCCCTCCTTAAAACCTGTCGCCGGTATATATGCTCCCCCCCTTTATACAGTCACTCGTTCTTCCGACTCTTCCCCACGGCTATCTTCATATATTGAGTGACCAGCCCAATTTGTAATTAAAAATAAATAAAATCTTCACCATGTCCACCCCGCACAATCATCCTCACAACCGACCCCAGCGTCAGCAACCACCACTTTCATCACCCTTCGTCTCTCAAACCGACCTTCGGCCCCCTCGTACTGCACCTCTGATTCATCAGAATCCCGCCTACAACCGCTATCCAGACGACCGGGAATCGAATCTCGAGAAGGATGAGGTAGGCCTCTCACTCTCTCTCGTCACAATCAACCTTCCTCCAACTCTCACCCGCCTTTCTATCTCTTAACCCTCGACCTCTCTTTTTTGTGGATGCTGACTTCAACTAATAATCATTGTTGCTGGTTCAACTGGTGATCCACAGGGATCCTACTCACCCCCTCATCTCGATCCCTCTGAACCGATCCTACATCCAACCTCTCGAGATAACCTCAAATCAGGCGTTCGTTTCGGAGTGGCTCAGTCGAGTTATGACTCTCATCCTCACCTCGCCCCCCCTCAACACGGCAACCCTGTTATGCACCGCAAGAAGTCACTCGTCCGACCAGATCGTGCTCCTATTGACCCTACTCATCGTCTCTATAACTATCGTAATCACGCAGCCGCCATGGAAGCAGATGAACGCGGTCGAGTCGAGGTGAGCCATACCGGGGCTACGGCATTCGATGGATCCGCCGCCCTAGCTCAACAACCATTTGACCCTCATGCGCATCCGCTCGAAGAACACTCTCCAAACTCAAATTCACCGGGTCCTATGAACACAACCCACAGTCGTGCTGGTCTCATGGCTGCCCTCGGCCGTCCAGCTCCTCCGTCCGGTTATGCTGGTCTTGTTGGCGAAGCGGGAGGCGCTCGCACGGCTGCTACTGGTGGCTTAAGACGCGGTCAGAGTATCCTGGCTCGTCGCCCTGGTGAAGCTGAAGAATCGGGCTTAGCAATTCTCAAACGAGGAGAAACACTCAGGCGGACTGGAAGAAAGCGTAAATCAGGTGTCGATGCAGTTGAAACCGTTAGTGCACTGGTTCTTAGTATACTATTCTCATTCTTCTCGCCAATAATATTGACGTATGTTTGGACGCTGTTGATCACAATGCTCGGCTGCAGAACTCAACCCCAAAACCACCTATCTCACCTTGGGCAATTTACTGCAGGGCTGTCACCTGTTGTTTCCCGGCATTCTTACTCTCCACATGTGGAATCAAGTCAGCTGATCGACTTAGTGCCTGGAGAGAGAAGATGGGAATTCTATTTCTGATTTTCTTACTCATGGCTGCAGTTGCCTTTTTGACGTTTGGGTTCACTCAGGCAAGTCATCTAATGTCGTTTCTATCTCGTAAAATAGCTCAAGTTACACCGTTCAAGCACTCACCTCTCTTACCCCCTGTTGCTCGAATACGGAATTTCAGACGGTCTGTGGTAAACCGCCTCTCCGGTACCATAGTGGTTCGATACAACCTGGAATGATTATTTTCCACGGAGAGACATACGATTTCGACAATTTCAAACATCCCGCGGCCCCAGGAATTGCCGGTGGTGACAACCCAGCTTACAGTGCCTTCAACGCTGGCGCGATGGATGGCAGTTTCCTATTCCAGCGTGTCAACCAACGTTGTCAAGACATTATCACTCCGGCTTCCCGGACCGGCATTCCTACAGATGGCTCAGGCAAGCTCTCGTGGTATTTCCCGTGCAATCTGTATGACCAATACGGTGCTAGTGCAGTCAATAAAACCGTACGTATCATCTTCGTACCACATCTCACATTACCGCATAAATTGACGAGATAGACCGGTTTTGAATCAACCATTAGGGTTATGCCGAAGGTCGCTTATGTCACACTAAGGATGATGCTCGTCAAGCCCTCGCCAAAATGAAGCCTCTCGGACAGGTTTACTATACCTGGGACGACTTGAAGAACTCGAGTCGGAACTTAGTCGTCTACGATTCCATCGTTCTCGATTTGAATCTTCTCAATTGGCTTGATCGCAGTCAAGTTTCTTATCCGGACGTTTTTGATGATTTGAAGCAGAGCAACAATCAATTCTCAGGTCAAGACATCACCATGCAACTCTTGCGGGCTGGAGGGCAGCAACTTGGTGGCTGTCTGACTGACATCATTCAAGTGGGCTACATCGACACCAATACCTTGGGCTGTGTAGCTTCTACAGTAGTGCTCTATGCATCCTTAGTCGTCATCATCGGGGTTGTACTGATCAAGTGGGCGATGGCAGTATGGTTCGCCTGGTTTTTCGGATGGCGTCTAGGGTCGTTCGGAAAGGAGACTGCTGAACAAAGAGCTCAGCGTGCAGCCGCAATTGAAACATGGTCCTCCGATATCTATCGTCCGGCGCCCGCCCGATATCGCCCGAACGCACGGAATGCCAAGAAATCTCTGCTCCCCAATACCAGTCGGTTTACCGTTATGGGTAAACCAGGTGGTGTTCCTGGTCTAGGCGTGGCTGGTAGTGGAGCTCGTCCTATGAGCACGTATGTTGGTGAAATGAATCGCAAAAGCATGATGGCCTATCCAAGCAAGCCTACTGGACTCGCCATGAAAAACTCTCCTCCGTCAACACCTGGTGGCTTGCTGCCATCCCAGAGTGCAGCATCTCTCAATCAGTTCGTTGGTTCTCAGCGTTCTTCCTTTATGGTCGGAAATGCAGGTGGTGGTGGTGGTGGTGGGAGCACGGAAGGCTCCAATGTCAGTCAACCACCCGGCTGCCCATTCCCACTTTACAACGTCGTTCCACAGCCGCCCCCGGACTATGAACCTTTTAACTTTCCTCTCGTTCACACGATTTGTCTAGTAACCGCGTACTCGGAATCCGTCGAAGGTCTTCGCACTACGCTTGACTCTCTAGCCACAACTGATTATCCGAATTCTCACAAATTTATCCTGGTCATCGCCGATGGAAAAGTCAAAGGTTCAGGCAATGACTTGACCACCCCCGAAATCTGCCTATCAATGATGAAGGATCTTATCGTTAGACCTGATGAGGTTGAACCCAAGAGCTATGTGGCAATTGCCGATGGTCACAAGCGACATAACATGGCCGAAGTCTATGCTGGTTTCTACTCCTATGACAATGATACGGTTGAAGTGACCAAGCAGCAAAGAGTACCGATGATCCTGATTTCGAAGGTCGGTAACGCGGATGAACAGCACGAGTCTAAACCCGGGAACCGTGGGAAACGAGACTCTCAAGTCTTACTGATGAGTTTCCTTCAGAAAGTGATGTTTGATGAGAGGATGACCGAGTTTGATTACGAATTCTTCAATTCCATTTGGAGAGTTACTGGTGTCAGCCCAGATCATTATGAAATCTGCTTGATGGTAGATGCCGATACCAAAGGTTTGTGTGCTTTATATATATATATATATATATATTTCATTACATAGTCATGTATGCTGATTCAATTCTACTCTGCAGTTTTTCCCGATGCTGTATCTCGCATGGCAGCATGCATGGTAAGGGATTCGGAAATCATGGGTCTGTGTGGGGAGACGAAGATCGCCAACAAGAGTGACAGTTGGGTGACGATGATTCAAGGTGTGTTCTTACAGTCTCTCAATCTCCATAAGAATGCCAACAGTTGACTTACACGCTGCCTCTTCAGTCTTTGAATATTACATCTCACATCATCTGCAGAAATCGTTCGAATCCATGTTTGGAGGTGTGACCTGTCTGCCCGGATGTTTCTCGATGTATCGGATCAAAGCACCCAAGGGCGGCGAGGGGTACTGGGTGCCGATCCTGGCCAATCCTGACATCGTCGAACATTACTCTGAAAACGTTGTGGACACCCTACACGCCAAAAATCTTTTACTACTCGGAGAAGATCGGTTTTTGACAACTCTGATGTTGAAAACGTTTCCCAAGCGCAAGATGATGTTTTGTCCGCAGGCGGTATGCAAAACCATAGTACCTGACACCTTTCGAGTACTTCTCTCACAGCGTCGAAGATGGATTAACTCGACGATACACAATCTATTTGAGCTCTTGTTTGTTCGAGATCTGTGCGGGACGTTCTGTTTTTCGATGCAATTTGTTATTGGAATGGAATTGGTTGGAACACTCGTCTTGCCCGCCGCCATCTCATTCACGGGCTACATCATCATCCTGACAATCATACCTGGAACGGAAAAACCGATAATCTCACTGATCTTACTGGCATTCATTCTTGGATTACCTGGTCTGTTGATTGTCATCACTCTCTCGGCGGATTGCATACGTCGGATGGATGCTGGTATATCTCCTGTCACTTCCGATCTGGGAATGCCGTGCTGCCAACCTACGCTTATTTCCACATGGACGACTTCACGTGGGGTGAGACCCGGAAGATAGAAGGTGCCAAAGAAAA